TCTAGGTCAGAGAGTATTAACCTCGCATATAAATAGTACGCTAGCCGAACATAATGTTTGCGGCAATACATTTTTCAGCTTTCATTCTCAAAATTTGCTGATCGCCGCACGCGCTCTCTGCGGCTCTGCGCCGCCATTTTTATATTTCTCGTGGACTGACACGACGTTACCGCGAAACGGTAATAAAGGACGAGCCTGGCCGTCGTACGCACCAAAATAGTTGCGCGGACGATGATATCAGATTTGAGATTCGGCCTCATTAGAAGCGACACGCAGGCTCCTTCTTTCTCGTCGCTTTTCTTCGGCTCCGCCGATGGTCCCGCTCCACGAACATTCGTTCCAAACAGGGTTGCAACACACTAGACTCTCGCTCGAGATAGCCTCGACCCGAATTTTTCTGAGGAATCGAAGATACGATGTTGTGGTTGTCGTGATCGGATTAGATCATGATTTGGGGGTTCGAAGCTTTGTCTGTGTACAGTGGAACCTCTCTTATCCGAACATTTAACATGTCGACTGCCACGGCAACTTTGAGGGTTATGTGTATTAATACCCGTTCTTTCGTAATAATTACGAATGGTAGTAGAAACGATTGTTTCTAACTTGGTATCACAGTATTAATGTCACACTATTGTTTAGCTGTTTGTGTTCTTAATCAGTTTTCTTATTGTAATTGTTTTCGAGCAATGTGGCTGGTAGGCAACTTGTTAACCCTTTGCCTTATGATCTCTTTTTGAACTGCGCTCAACAGAGCTATTATATTGTTCATAATTAGAAAAAGAGACAAATTATACGCTTGTTCTATGTCTAAGATTACCTCGAAGCGTTACAATTAACACGTTGACTGCCACGAAAAACATCATTTTATTTATCACTTATCCTTTCTATTGCAAAGATACAAAGCAAGAATTATTAATTAATTAAGTCATAATTATTTTCTTGTAATTTGAAAACTCCGGTCATCGCTAACCGCCGTGGCAGTCAAAGTGTTAATAAGAGTAATATTCGATTCGGACTTAGAGGAATGATATAAGCAATAGTTATATTTCTTAAATTTGTTTAAAATCTTCACCACGAGTCTGATATTGTAAGGCAAGGGGTTAAGACATGAACTCCTAGCTGAATCTCTGTTATTTGAAGTACCGTTGAGCTTGCTCTCAGTTATCACTAGAACTACCAGATGGATCGAAATGACCCATTTTCTGATGTTTCTCTTTGCAATTACTGAGAAGGTACGAATACCTCTTTGAAGAATTACTAAAGAATCTGATTAAGTAATACCTAAGCTGAAATTTAAATCAATTCAAACCTTAATAAATTCACGTTTGTAGTTTTTGTAAAGAAATCCTCAAAAGTCAGTTTACAGGCTCGATAGTTCTAGTGTTAAACACACGAGTGCTTACACATTCCATATTTATATTCAGAATATATAAGCGAGATTCTATACGTTAAAAACAAAAATAGAAGCAAATATGTAAAGAAATTCTACTAATCTCTATTAAACTGACTATTTCAAGGATTGAGTTCTTTTATCGGAACAAATAAAATCAGGTGGTAGGGATAGTTGGCGAGCCTCTATTATCCGAACAGACTTGTCTCCCAACGCGGAGCTGTTTGGCTCTGGTGTTTGGTTTTATACGATGTATATTACCTATTCGGTTTTATTGGCGACGATAGGGGTACATTCTTGTTTAACCACTTCCGCTGGAAATGAATTCAGAGATTTGGCAAGGTCTCGCGTGAAGAATTTTCTTTTTACCTATTTTACGTTGATATGTACACCAAGTTTGTTTATTAACAATTTTGCATAGAGTGATACATTTCAAAACAATTTAATATGCGTAACGCAACAAGATTATCAATGTGTGAAAGACGTCATTGACAATTTTAGAACAAAAACGTCTCTCGTTGTACGTTTTTCAAGCGCAAGAGATTAACACTAGGTTTACGGACGTTTATTGTATTTACTCTATTGTTCGTAGGAAAATTAATGTTCATTCGGTTAGATCTTCGAAATTAACACATTCTCGACCAGTCATATACGTACGTCGCTGTTTATTATCGTTGCTATGATGATGTTAACATATATTTGGCATATAGTATACCATGCTGTCATTTTGGTTACATCAAAATGTCACACACATATGACATTTATGTAAAATATTTTGGTCGGTTTATTTGCTATATTCTAACTCTGAAGGTGTTTCTTTTATTTTACAATGGCTAGTTTCTGACAAACGCTAAGTTAACACGTTAAGCGCCACGGAAATCTTAAGCGTTTTCCCGTAGAGTTTTTTATTATATTATTATCAACTTAGTTACGTTATTAAACATTTTCATTTTACATCGGTTATCTTGTGTGTTACGATTGTTTTCTAGTCATTCAGAAGCGTCAGTCACCAGTGACTGACATGGCGCTTAACGTGTTCATCAGCAAAAATTCTGTTCATTCTTTTTACATTTCAATTACTAACAACTAATTACAATGCCGAATATTATTTAATTCATTGAAATATTTTTGATTACGTTGCACTTGGATCAAAGTTTATAATAATCAAGTTACACGTCGCATTTATATTAATTTATATTACACCAGCGAGCTTATTGTTCAATTATTCAATGTTTCTTATTAAACAAGCGTTATAACTTCGAGTAGCATCGTTTACAATCGCCCAAGAAAACTGATCAACAGGAAACAAACAAAACATAACAAACACGAATTTCTGAAATTCTTTAATTCACCGTTATCAAGTAACGAAAGCTAATTAGCGTTTAGCAAGCGATTAATTAAAATACCGTGTTATTTCTCCTCTCTACTTCACGGATAGCGGGGTAATAAAACGGTTTATTGGGAGTAATTCGAAGCTATTATCCTCGCAATATTTCACGGTAACAGAAACCTTCTAACAACGAGATTAACGTCAACGTTATTTAGTAAATTTATTTTTCCAGTTTAAAGAATGACAGAGAGGGCGTATTTCTCACAATCGTCGACGTTACTGTTGCGTTACTTTTCCTTCCGAAAAATAAATCACGATTCCGTATAACGTGTATACTTGTGTCTGCGCGTATTTTAGTAGATTGAGGAAGTATTCGTGGCATCGGCTAGTTAAAAGTTTATTAGGCTCGCGGTGAGTAAATATACACGTGCGAACCAACATGTTTTCAAACATTGCGCGCAATCGTAACGCTTCAACAGCTCGAAGACTACCGCCTTACAATTGAACGTTTAAGGAAGTTTCCAAGGCTCGAGGTTTCGTGTCTCCCCTCTTGTTTGATTGTTTAACGCGAAAACTTTTTATCGGTATAAACGAAGTATTTATGCGCGAACCAGCGGCGGATGGGGAAAATGGCGAGTTTTAATGCGGTTGAGAAACGTAGGAAAGTTAAAGACAAGAGATTGGATTGGTCATGCGAGGAATACGGTACCAATTATTTTGTTAATCTAAAAAGACGAGTTAATTTGATAATTGCATTGAATTGAATAATGCGGTAGCAATTGGCCCGTTTAACCGAAAAAGACTAGTTAATTCGATAGTTGTATTGAATTGTGTAATTTTTTGTTCTCTTTTGCAAGAAGTATTAGTCTATTTAATAGTATACGTAAATATAAATATAATAGTATAGGTGAAAATATTTTGCAGTCGATGCAAATGTTTTCACGCTTTTTTGTATAAGCAATGAAAAGAAGAATTCTAAACTGTTCCCTGGTTAAACCAAAATTAAGTAGAAACTAAGAAACAAGTGTGCTTTATACACATTACAATACTTTGAAAACAGATGTCATTTGTTTCGAAGAAAATTCATTGTTATTCACGAATAAAAAAAACCCAAACTTAAATCTGTTGTGTTACAAATTACATTATTTATACGATATATTAGGAATATATTATTACAGACTGTTAAAGTAATTTAACGTTTTTAAAGTTTGTAGAAACTTTTTATTGATATACTGTGAAGTACTACAAATTTCTCTCGAGATTGTTCAAGAAGAACAATAAAAGTTCGAATTTTTCGGATGTAAACGTGATAATTCTAGTACATACTTTCACGAGTCCTAACAGTTAATGGATGTTAGTAACAGAAGCTGTGATTTTGAATCGCAGAAGAAACAATGGAGATGTATCTCTTTGCCATGTATTTATAGCCACGTAATCCAACTATAAACTGAACCTAGCACACTTCTGACAAAGAAGCTTCTATTGTTATCTAATGAATACATCCATAGAATTCTAATTGTACACGCACCTTCAATATTTACTAAAATATGAGAACTATTCAGTGAAATGCATTTCAAAATATATTCTATCAGATATTTCCAAACCAAATATATTCAAGTCCTTGTTTTATGACTTGCTCACAATAACATTCGCAACATTTATTCCTCTATAATTAGTTTCCCGGAACAAAAATGATCTTTCTACTCACTAGAAATCTCCGTTTAAATAAAACTCACATTATTTCGTCCAAGAACAAACCAATAATGCTCACATTCACCCGATTCAGGTTAAAATCATCACCGCGAGCCTGACCCAACGCTATAAACGAAGGAGCTCAATAAACCGCAATGCCTCTATCTCTCCCAATGAAACAACACAAAATGCGCATCAATTAAAAAACCCATGAAATCAAACATAAAACCCGCCGCGTGCACCCTCGAAGCACAGTATAAACCCAAAATCTCAAGGTCCCTTTCGCGATAAAACGAAACACAATAAAAACCATCGAAATAAAAGCTTCCTTCCGCAGCATCCTCACGAACACTCTCGATGCATGTTTCAGATTATGGCGCGGTTAAACCGGGCCAACGCGAGAGGACAGACGTAGGCACGGATGAAGCGCAAAAAGGGTAACGAGGACGAGGAGGAGGAGGAAGAAGAAGAAGAAGAAGAAGAAGAAGACGACGAAGACGAAGACGAAGACGAAGACGAAGACGAAGACGAAGACGAAGGCGAAGGCGAAGGCGAAGGCGAAGGCGAAGACGAAGACGAAGACGAAGACGAAGACGAAGACGAAGACGAAGAAGAAGAAGAAGAAGAAGAAGAAGAAGAAGAAGAAGACAACGAAAAAGAAGAAGAAGCAGAGGAACAAGAAGTAGAAGACCAAGAAAGCGAAGAAGTGAAGGAAGAAGAACACGAAGTGTCGCCAGTAAATCAGCAAACCGCCGACGGGCAGGCAACCGCAACGGGAAAGAACCCGAGACCCGCGGCACCGGCCAACAACAGCGTGCTATTATCATCTTGGCCAGGTGCGTTTCATGCTAAGCAAAAAGAGGCTAGGAGACGACACAACGCTGGCGGACGGGGAACGTAATGGGAGCGCCGTGGTCACGGGCCCGGTGCTATCGTCGTCGTCGTCGTCGTGCACGGTGCCCTACATCGGCACCGACCAGGGTTTCGTGTTCGAGGGTGGCGGCACGACGACGTTGCAGTGGGCCGGTGCATCTATCCCAAGTTGCACCGGTGGCGGAGGAGGAGGAGGAACCCTCGGGGTCGGCGTCGACCCCGGTACCGGTATAGGTGTAATCGGCCTGGGGGTTAGCATGGGTGGAGGCGGAGGGATCGCCGTAGTCGCCGGAGGGAAAACCGCCGGCGGTGCCGCCGGGTCAGTAGCAGGAGTAGCCGGAGGCGGGGGTGTAGGTGGTACGAACAAAGAGGT